AAGCTTTTCCCGAAGCTTCCTCCCATACTCAGATCACAGTTGGTCGTTTTGCCTGTACCGGCTCCTGGGGTTCTGACCACACCTCGGATCGATCACGTGTCTTGCATTTTCCGGGTTACTCATCTCCTTTCCTTTGTAGGCCTTACTCCCCAAGAACAAGAGCTGTGCTTTACAAAGTGCTGAGTCCCTGGCTAACCCAGTGAATAGAACCAAAGGAGGTGCTCAAAACCCACCTCTAAAAGGGACTGTGGAAGAAATAACTTCTGAATGAGGACATATGTGTAAGGCCACGTAGGGTCCCCAGTGGTTCCTTCGACATGTGAAGGGCAGCTAACACATAATCAGGTGGTAGGTCCTGGTGACCCTAATTCCCATGAGCTTGTGTTGGCCGAGTACCCATTTGGCATTTGTGTTTAGCATGAAGCAGTCTTTCAAAAATAGCAACACACAAAAGAAATCCACCCCATAGACTCAGTTGGCACGGGAATACACAGCCTTCGTTAGCCCTGCTGTCCTAGGGTGCAGACCCTTCAGCAGACAGGGCCGTGAGAGGCCCTCGCCAAGCACTGGCGGGCGCTCTGCCATTGGAAAATCACCTCGCTTCTTAACGCCTCAGTTCCCACCTCTGCCCAAAGGCCGTGGTGACAACTCGCTGGCCTCCTTTCCAAGGATACTATGAGTCAGAAGAGACAGAGAACAAGGAAGCTGACAGTGAATTTCATGAACTTTGCAACATGTTTGCTCATGACTTTCTGTGTTCGCTTTGATTCTGATTCTCGGTTGAACCAGGGTACGGAGCGGTATATTTAGCAGACGTCCTGGGGTGCTGACGAGGGGGCCAGGCTGAGGATTACCTTGTCAAGTTTGCAAAGAGAGGTAGATGGTCACGTGGCTACATGCCCTGCCAGTTTTGCCAGAAGGAATGGTCTGGTGAAAGGGGGAAGAAAAGTAAATTATGTCAAGACTCAGATAGGCCGGCATGCAAGTCTGAGGAACTGTGGCTTGTGCCTTAGGCCACCTGAGACAGTAGGGGCCTTTGGTCCTATCCAGGGACCCAATAAAGCAATGTTTTAGGGTGGCTTTTCGGAAGCACATTCAGCCATGATCTTGCTCGAAATCCTTCACTCTTGTCCGGTTATCCTCTGTGGGGCTTTCCATGCAGAGTGGCACATGGGGCTGACTGACGTGCCAAAACAGTATCTCCTCATCTGTGCGGACACCTGAATGGGACTGGAGGCAGCCAGAACCCCTGGATCAGTCCTTCCAGCCGCAAGCAGCTCCCTTTCTATCCCCCAGTGAGTAATAAGGATATCATTTTCTGTTTAGGAAATGATGTGAAAATGGTTGGAAAACACCTCTTTTGCATAGATACGAGGCCCTTCCCCGTCTCTTCCCTGCTCACTTGTTCAGGCTCCCACCGTGGCATTTGCCCCGAAGCGCGCTATGTAAACTGTCTCATCCTCACACGCTGTTGGTCTGGCATAGCCCAGTGTCGCCACGCTGCCTTTGTCCATGGTCCCCATATCCCCACCCGGCTGCCTGGCTAAATGCCAGCCCAACCCAGCCTCGGCCTCCCTCCTCTGTGTTTGCTTCATAAACATTGCACAGCTCAGTGTCCGCAGTCACTGCATGGGACCGCAACAGTGGGCATGTCTTCCACAAAAGGGCCTGGCGAAAATTGAGTGTTATTCCTCCAGAAAATACATGCTGATCTAATATTTGGAGTGAAACCCGTGAGATTAGACAACGTAGGGAAGAAACACGAGCACAAGGTGATTTCAGTTAGTTTGCACACAATAGGTGTTCAGTGAAAAAGAGTTGAATAAAAGAGTAAAAAAAAAAAGACGAGAAAGCAGTTTTAAATGTAGAATCCCTGAGGCTCGGTGAAGTCCAGAAAGTGAGAGAGAAGGAAGACGGAGTAATTCCAGATGTTTCAAGACAAAGTAGCACCATCAATACAGCAATCCTCACATTGCTGTGGAGGCTAATCTCTCAGACCCGAGACAGGTGCCTAGTGAACTGGGATTAGGATGTTTATTGCAACATTGTTTATCATACCAGAAACCTAGGAACCGGCCAAATATCCTTCACTGGGGGAATGCATAACAAACCGTGGTATATGTATATGACAAATTAAGTGATTACAATGACTAGATATTGACATCTTAACATGGTTAAATCTTAAAAGACATAATGTTGGGTGAAAGGTAAGTTAGAATAGAATATATTCACTGTAAAGCACTCTAAAACACCATGTGTTGTTTATTAATATGTGCATAGAGAATAAAATATAAACATATGCATGGAAACGAAACCCATCCATCTCAGGATGCTGGTTACCCAGAGGGAAGGAAGTGCTAGAATGAGATGGAGGAGCTTTTGATTTGTCAGTAATGCTTTATTATTGACAGCAAATGTGGCGATACATTAGCATGTGTTAAATCGGAGTGGCAGGTATTTGTTTTGTTAGTTTCTGCACTTTTCTGTTGGTTTGAAATAGTCTGTGCTTTTAAAAATGAAATTAAAACCACACAAAAGGAAAGGCTGAGTAACTGGGAGAATGGCCCGCATTTCTGTGTTTAGTCTTCTGTTCTGGATGCCGCCCTCTTTTCAACGAGCCTGGCAAACCCAGTGGAGTCACATCTGCCACTCAGGACTCGCCAAGTCTTAACACCATTTAAAAGCATCACTTCTTGGTTCAGGCTGCAGAGACTGGTAGATAGATCTGCCATTGGCCTCTTTAGAAGTTTCAAAATGTGCATTAATATCTTTCACCATTGCTTAGAGCCTCTATCCTCTCCTCTCTTTTTTCTATCCAACATAATTAGAATTATTTTTTGCCATAAGAATTCTTGAAATTCTTTCACAAGTTTAACTGGCATCTATTTTCTTGATTCCACCACTGTATTATCTTGGTTTGTAACTTTGCAAATTTCTTCCTTTTCTTTCCAAAAGAAGCGGTCAAATAATACGCTGTGGGGAATTTTACTATTTTACTAAAATTGCTTTTGTATTTGGGGAATAAATTTACTAGTATGCTAGAGCTAGTTCACACTGACTCAGGAAAGCCAATGGGCACATTTTTCCCAACTGGTGTTCAATGGCATCCCATTGGTAGCTTGAAATCAGCCATGAGGCGGGTATTTATACCATGGGAATGGGCAAAGCTACCGGTCAGGTTTTGGTTTTTGTTTATCTGGAGGGCTGGTGATTCAACATTCACCAGCCTACCACTAGGGGGCATGAAAGTTTTCCGAATTGTGCAGGGCAAGTAGCAGTTCCACTTTTACAATGAGGAAACGGAAAGCCAAAAAAGTCTTTGGCCTGAGTCACAAGACCCCAAAGAAGCATCGCTGGGGCCCTGGTCTGTTTGGTGTAGACAGAGAAGGCACTGGCTTTGGAGTCAGGCAGTTCTGAGTTTGAATCTGGTATAGCTAGTCTTGTACTGTGAGTTGTTTAAGTGCCTGTCTTAGCCCCTCAGTTTTCCCACCTATAGAATAAGGATGGCAATATCTAGCTTGCAGGGACCTTATGAGCCTTAAGTGAAATGATATCCCCCAAAAAACTAACAAAGCACAAAGGAGATAAGCAATAGGTGTAATTTGCACTTCTGACTTACAAGTTCAGGTCTCTAGGTATTATCCCAGTCTTCCCATAACTCTCTGTGTGTGTGTGTGTGTGTGTGTGTGTGTGTATTTTTAATTTCGACTGCAACCAACCAAACACCTTTCACTAAATGGTGAATATACTTTTTTCCCAAATACGTGCCACTGAAATAAGTAAAAATCTCAGTGTTGATATTTATGTGTGATTTGGGGAATCAGTTTCTTTCCAACAATCTTAAAAATGTATATATTGAGTGTCAACTAAGATCATTTTTCAACTGCCTGGCGTTTTCTCCCCTGACCATTCTGCTGAGCTGTGCATCCTGAAGAAGATGGATTTGGGAGCCCATGGGTGCTACAATTCCATCCACCACATTAACTACAGTGGCCTCCAGGGAAATTCTCTTGGCTTTCAAGTGCTGGGCTCCGTGCTTGCTCTGCATGCTCGGACTGACCCGGCGCAGACAGCTGCTTCTGAGCTGGTCAGCTAAGCAAAAATGTGCTTTTCTTTTTAGGCTGTTATAGTTAATTTTTTTTTTTTTTGCCTGACGAATATATTTAGTTATTTTTACGTTATTTTAAATATAAAAAGGTATATAATGGCAATTTTCCTGGCTATACAATCACCCATTTACCCCGCTTACTACCCATAAAAATCAACAACAGCAAAACAAGATGTTGGAGAGAAGGAGGAAACACCCTCTTAGTATCAGTTTCACATGAAACGAAAGGTTTTTGGGGCTCATCTTACCAGCTCAGCACCGGCACTGCCTTCACCACGGTTTGCATGTACGTTGACTGCAGTGGGCTTAAGACAGCTGTTGACACCAGCAACACTGAAATGAGCTGAGGCTTATCCAGAATAGAGACACAGAGAAGCTACTTTTTGTCTGTAAAGGTAAATGGCATGTATTGTCCAAACACCATCCATCAGCTAAGCTGACGTAGGTAATCATCTCTCTGGAGGAAAAAATAGCAAAAAAGCTAATACCTGTAAGGACTGTATGGCATATCAGGTCAAGTGCTAGGCCCTGTTTAAGATTATTGTGATGAGCTGTACGTAACCTAAATATACCATTTTAACCCTATTCCAAAGCATACAGTTCAACGGCATCAAGTGCGTACACACCGTTGTGCAGCCGCCGCCACCTCCAGGAAGCGCTGGGCCTTCGGCCCGTCTCACTTAGTGCTTACGGCAGCCTTCGAGGTCTTTGTTAATGTGTCCCATCCGATGAGAGTGTCTCAGCAAGATTGTTTCAAGTCTCACGTGGAATAGCTGGCAGAGCCTGGGTCTGAACCCAGGCAGTTTCCTCTCCAACACAGGTGGGACAGGTGCGCTCAACTCTCTGTCTCACCGTTGTTTTTTCCACCCTCCATCCTATGCTCTTTGCCCAGGGGTGATCCTGCTGCTTCTAGATAAGCTGCGGAAGATGAAATGGGAGCAGATGTGGAGGCTGACCGCCGAGAGGGAGCTCATGGGCATGCTGTCCACGTCCTTAGCCGACCAGGTGAGTGGCCTGGCTGTTCCTGGGGACCCTGGTGCTGTATCTCAGACAAACTGGAAAGTCGATGGGTGTGCGTTATTTTCCTACCTACTGTGTGACGGTATACGCTTGGGTAGATCCACCTGGTGCTGCCAGCCTAACACAACAGCTCAGCTCATGAGTTTATTTCCTTTGTTCGTTCACATGTCCATTCAGCAGACTTTCACTGCACATTGCGTATGCCAGGGACTGTGTTCAGAAATAGGATTTCAGAGACAAGTGAAGATGTACCATCCCAGGCCTCAGAGAGCCCAGAGATTATTGAAGCTGATTCATAAATGAATGACAGTTTGGTGTGTTAAGAGGAGGTCGCTGTCTTCGTCTCAGTGTGGAGAGCACTGGTCCCTGAGGTGCCAGGATGCCAGAGCAGATTTCCCGGCCAGGGTTTCATTGACCTTTCTGGCAATAGAGTCCACATTTTAAAACGAAGCCTTTTTGCTTAGATCCTGGACTATGATCCTATCTCCAAGGGAAATGCATTTAAATTGAAGGGACAGACTGCCTGGCTGGAGAAGCCAGTTTTTAATCCAGGCAGTCTGGAAAAGTCCATCAACCCCAGCAAACTATTAGCCCCAAATCATAAAAGGCCCATTTCTCACTTTTTCTAGGAAATATTTTCACTAGGAAATGCAGGAGTTGATCTTGGATCTGCCAGGTTCCCATGTTTAGCCTTGGAGTTTCCCGTGGTGCAGATGGCCATCTTGAGCTGTAAAGACCAGGTCTCTGGGTCCTCTGCATTTTACCCTTCCCTAGTCATCCAAAAAACGAGCTCGCCCTGTGGTTTTGCTCCATGTTCAGTCATCTGAGCCACTGAATTCTTGCAAAGTTTTCTCACGCAGAGGAGACCAGAAAGTCTGTAAGGTTACTTGACTGGTTTTTTTTTTTTTTTTTTTTAGCTTTATTATTATGCAGTATTTCCCAAGCAGCCAGAAACTAATTTCTTATTTCAAACACAAGATACAGTATAATGAATGAGTTAAAAATTACCCAGGTAGCTGTTTGAAACCCGAGGGGAAATTGTTCTCCATCATCATATTTTAAGTCGGGTCACAGTGACTTGAATGTGTCCCCAAAAGCTAGCAATCGGACGTCCGTGTCCAGTGAGGATAGTTGACTCAGCCGTCTCCCGCTGCGGAGGCCCATCACTCACCTCCTGGCACCCCTGTCAGCAGCTAGTTAATAAGTACGGCCTGGTCCAGGAGCTTGGAGAAGAGCCCGAGAGAGCTGGAGCGTCTTTAGACAGAGCCCGGGCTGGATGGGGAGATGGGGAGCGCGGACCCGGGAGCCATGGCCCGCAGGAAGCCAAGGCGCATCCATCACCAAGTCCACCAAAAGCCCCAGGAAGCGCTGCTGTTTCAGCAGCTCTGTAATTTGTCTCAGCCCCTGAATGAGCAGAGCCACTTGTCATCGCGCAGTTTCCTCTCCAGGAGGCTCAGGATGGATCACACGGGGCTCCGTGATGAGGTGGGAAGAGGGGCGGAAAAGTGACTCCATTTATTATGTGCTGGCTCGGCTGGGACAGAGGCTCCCTGTTTGCACGCACGTCCTCCCCTTGCCATATGGTGCATTTATGAGACCAGCAGGACCCCAGAGCTTCATGGCCGCATGGGGCGTTGCCCCATCTCTAACCTAGCGTTATTTCTGTTATTGCTCAGTTCCCGGAAATCAAAGGGGAGGGAAGTGCCCTGCAGTATAAGCCCGCCTGTGTTTGGAGCAGGAGGCTGAAGCAGCCCCAGCACACGCGACACCCGCATGCGGCGCCTCGAGAGCCAGCGTCCTCCGCGGAAGTCTTCTGATGACTGACCGTGTCTCTGGCTTCTTTCCCCAGGATATTTTCAACGCTGTCATCAAACAGAACCCCTTCCTCGTGTATCAGCTCCCCTGCTTCTGGAACGTGCAGCTGTCGGACCACACCCGCTCTGAGCAGTGCTACCGAGACGTGTCTGATCTGAAGGTAGAGCCAAGACATGGCCCTGGGGTGGGGTGCGGTGCCCTGTGGCGGCCGAGGGAAGCTGGCCTGGGGAGCACCCTTCACCGGGAGAAGGGCTCTGAGCTTCGTGTGCAGTGCGGTGAAGGGATGAGAGCGAGGGGACCAGAGAGAATGTACTTTACTTCTTTGTTGGTTTGTTTTTTCCCCTCTTCTTGTTTGGGCTTTATGAAACCCATAAGGCCTCCTGGCGTAGGAACCAGCTTGTGTGCTTATTCTTGCCACCTGCTGCCGGTTGTTTTGTTTCATGTCAGCTCCCAAAATTCAGTCATATGATTAAAACAAAAACATTTATTGAGGGCCTGTACTGTGTTGGGTGCTGTAGATATGGATGTGAACACATACTCCCGACTTTGAAATCACTCATGGCTTAGAGGAGGAGAGAAATATAAGGAAACAAATGTTAAAAAATATGACAGGTATTATGATAAGTGTGGGTGCAGACATAAATATCTCATCCTACCTCTGGGAGAAGGGACAATGACAGAAAAGCTTTCCTCCTTGGTGTCTAGGTACCAAACACAGTGGTAGGGCCTGGCAGTAGAAAGATGAAGAAGCCAGGGTGTATCAGTTATCTACTGTGATAGGTGATGCTGTGTAATAAACTATGCTAATAGTGGTTGAAATCAACAGCCATTTTTTGATGAGTCTGCAGCTTGACTGGATGGTTGTCTGGTTACACGGTTTAACCAAGCGTCCAATGGCTGGCAGCTCTCCCCCAGTGTCTCCTATATACCATGAGCGGGCCAGTCTGGCTTGTTCTCAGGACAAAGCAGGGGTGGAAGAGGAAGTCCAAGTGCACACAAGGAAACTTTGAGTCCTTGCTGCTAGTATTCTGTTAGCCAAAGCAGCTATGTGGCTGAGGCCAGAGTTAAGAGGTGTCCCAGAAGTCCCCACCTACAGTAGGAGGAGTGAAGAATTGGCTCAGCTATTAAATGACAGGTCCAGGATTTGAACCCAGGCCTGTATTGACACCAAGTGTGGTTTTTGCCCCTCTGGCGGTATCAGAGAAGAAATGGATACATACATGCATTCGGAGACTGTTTTATTTAAAATTTATATCCATTGCCCATGTGGCCATAGAGTAACAATAATTGCAAGTTTTGAAAAGACAAAAGGAGTCCAAACTTGCTTTTCTAGTAAGTCAGTCTTTTCTAATGGGCTTCTAGTCCATGTCCACATGTACATATTACATCTTATTTATAGTCAGAATGCTCATTGGAATCTTGCATTACCTAGCCATTCCTGTTGCCTTAGTTGTTTCAGAATTTTTACAAATGCAAACTGTGTTATGATGAACAGCTTAAAGTTCACACCTTCCCAGGAATGAAATCACAGATTTAAAAGGAAAAGTAGGTGTTTAAAAATGCACTTGAAGTTTATTGCAAAACATTAGAAACCAAAACAGAACTACCTGTATCATTCATTCTTTCAATCAGCATTTATACCATTCCTTTAATATGTCATATACTTGTTAGTCATAAAGAAAATTGATGAAATACACAGGACTATAGCCAAGAATGTTACGAACCAGAAGTGCAAAGGAAAGGAAAATAAAACCAACCATGTAAAGAACACCTAAAAATCAGACCATAAAGTAAATTAAATAAGCAGAAACCAGGATGAATGACAAAGTAGAAATCTGGAGAATAAGCAAAAAGCAGATAGATATGACATTTATTACTAGGGGCATTTGCTAATCCTTGGTGGCAGGGAGCCCAGTTTAAAAGTAAGTGATTCTAATTTATTATTCTAATGAAGGAAGGCTACCATGAGTTACGCTGGACAATAGATCTAAATCACAGTCAGGCAAACTCGACATGTAACCATCCTATTGAAAGACTATGCGTGAGCTCTGACTGGTGTGGCTCAGTTGGTTGGGCACTGTTCCGTAAAACAAAAGGTCGCTAGTTCGATTCCCTGTCAGGACACATGCCTGAGTGGTGGGTTCAGTCCCTAGTCAGGGCACATACAAGAGGTAGCCAGTCAGTGTTTCTGTCTCACATCAGTGTTTCTCTCCCTTTCTTTTTCCCTCCCTCCCCTTCTCTCTAAAGTAAAATTAATGAATAAAATTAAAAAATAATCTTGATTTATTGGGCAAATAAATAATCTTGTACCTAATGGAGAATATTCATCCTTTTCAAGCTCACATTTATTAAAAAATAACTGTGTAGTAGACCATAAAGCAAATTTCAGTACATTTCGGAGACTCATACATATATATAGTTCTCTGAATATAGTATAATTAAATTAGAAGGCAGTAGCAATAAGATTTTTAAAAAATCTGTTTGATTAGAATTGAGAACAACACTTCTAAATAACTCATGGTTCTAAACAAATCAAAATTGAAACTAAAAACTACTCAGAACTGAATGAAAATATGTCAAAATTGCTGGTATGAAACAAACATGTAGGGAAATTTATAGACTTACATGTTTATATTCAGATGAAAGGCTGAAAATTAATAAGCTGAGTTTACAACTTGATATATAAAAAAACATTAGAATAAATTCAAAGAAAGGAAAAATAGGACATAAAGAAAATAATATAAATTGATGAACAAATTGTTCAACAGAGTCAAAATTTGGTTCTGGGAGAGGGACCAGTAAAATAAACAAAGCTATGGCAGGACCCACTGAGAAAAGGGTAAGAGAACTCAGCAATAAATGAATAGGGGGCCAAAAATGAAGATTTGTGTATTCATTCACAAGAGCCTTTTCTAAATGTTTTCTCAGCATTCTTCTGAGTTCTCGGTAAACAGCAACAATGAAAGCAAACAAAAGTCTCTCACCGTGTGGAGCTTCTGATCCAATAGATAAAACAGAATTGTAGGAGATAAGAAAATACCATGAACAATATTATGCCAATAAATTGAAAACTTAAGGGAAATGAACAAATGTCTTGAAATGTGAACTTTACAAAAACTGGTATTAGGAAAAAATATAAAGTCTGGATTATTGTCTAGCCATTAAACCGTCTTACAAAGAAAACAGTACCCTTGGATGGTAAGTAGACTGAAGTTCTATCAACTTTTTAATCAAAAGATATCAATGTTAAGTAAACTCCAGAGAATAAGAGAGGAACACTTCTTAACCCATTCAATGAGGCCAGGATAGCCTTGATATGAAAATTAGACAAGACAGTCATAAGAAAGGAAAGCTGTGGGCCTGTCTCATGCACGGAATATAGATGCAGATATCTGGAGCAAAATATTAGCAAACCCATCCAGCCATGCATAAAACAGACAATACATCATGGCCGAGTTGGGTTCATTTCAGGAAATAGGAGGGTGATCCAACATTGAAAAATTCCTAAGCATCATTCATACTCTTACAGATTAAAGGAGAAACAGCATATAGCGATCTAAATAGACATAGGTAAATTATTTGATAAAATTAAATATTCGTTCATGACAGAAGGACCTCACATAAATAGTCTCCACTGAAAATGGACAGCAGAATTTTGCTGAGCATTTGCTTAGGGATATGCCAATTAATGAATAGAAAAGAATTGAGATCCCAAGAATACCACACATTTATAAAATTTTGGTATGTGAAGAGGTAGCATCACTGACCGTTGGAGAAAGGATGGAATCTTCCATAAATGGCACTGAGATACCTGATTACCCATGCGGGGAAGATGAAAATGGAACCCCGTCTCACACCATGCACCAATTCTGACAGGTTAGAGACTTAAAAGTGAAAGACCAAATTAAACATTTAATTATAAAACATTAGGAAAATAACCTATGCCCACAGAACAGGGAAGAATTTATTCAACATGACACCACCCACAGCATATGCTATAAACAAAAAGATCAATAAATTCAACCACATTGAAATTAATCATTTTTTGTAAGTGGCATCAGAAAGAAAAATATATTTCCACAACATAACTGAAAAAAGGACTAGTAAACAAAATGCAGGGTGGGTCAAAAGTGGTTTTACAGTTCTCAGAGAAATTAATACAATTAATAAGTAATATGACAAGAATAAACTCTGAGTTTCACATACTCATAACTGCAAACCTACTTTTGCCTCACCCTGTAATACAAAGAACTCTTAAACATTGTTAAAAAAAACAATGTGTAAAGGATATAAACAGTTATGTCACTGCATTGAAAGAAAATGGCCAATAAACAGTTTAAAAGATGTACAACCTCTTTGTCAGGGATGTGAAAATTAAGACCACAAGTAATTTCACATCCACCAAATTGAAGGAGTGCTGCTATCAAGTCTCATTTGATTAGTAGGAACTCTTCTATACTGTTGATAGGAGTATAAATGGATACAACCAAATTGGAAAAACACTTCAGCCCTATATTATAAATTTGAAGTAGTACAAATTTTACAATCTGGGGCTTGGATCTAACTGGTCAAAAATTGAGAAGTGAATGACTTTCTGGAGAAAGTGCTCCAGATTGTGGACAAATGACAACAGATTGAAGCAATGTCTGTGTCCTCATAATGAATGACATTTCTTGACCAGGCGGGGGCATGGGAGACTTCTAAAGTTTTAAGTCTTATTTTCATATCAAAAAAAAATCATAAAAATTCCACAAAAATCAATGCAACTAAAAGCCCTGGCAGGCTCACGAAGGGAGCTGTGACACATGCCGCGACGTGGGTGAGCCTTGAAGACAGGCTAAGTGAGAAAAGCCAAACGCAAAGAGGCAGATGTATGATTTCACTTATATGAGGCCCCTAAAATCGTCAGTCTCATAAAAACAGAAGGTAGAACAGTGATTCCCGGGGGCCGGGGTGGGGGAGGATGTGGAGTTAATGGGGACGGAGTTTCAGTTTGGGGGGATGAGAAAGTTCTGGAGACGGATGGTGGCGATGGTCGCATTACAGTGTGAATGTACCGAGCAGCAGTGACCTATATACATGCTTCAGCGTGGTTAAAATGGTAATTTTTTTGTATGTTTTACCACAATAAAAAAAATCCAGGGTGGGGAAAGGGGCCTT